AAAGCTGGCCAACAATGACTCTGCAGGAACGCATTGTGCTACACTTTTCTATGTGTTTACTTAACTGTAAATATGTTGCCACTTTATCCTTTTAAGTGCAATCCTGGTCAAAGCTGAAGACGTAAAACACTCTGGCGTTTAGAGGTGGTGTATGTGCAAAATGATCTGGCATATTGTTTCTGTAAATCTATCTAATCTGGGATGACCAATTTGTGTTTGATTAAGAGTTCTTGTTGTTTTTTATCAATAACTATATATTTACCAATTTAATACGGGGGGTTTGAAGAATGTACGTATTAATATATTGTTTGTGATTTGTACATTTCTTCAACAGCAACTGGAACTTTGAACACATATTTGACTGTATTTTTTTTCTTAAAATCAAAGTTAGACTAATGTATTGACTCATATGGACTTATATTGACTTTGATGCGTAACGTTGTTGGGCATTTACAATAGTTGTTCAAAAATACCCAGCAACACGTTTGGTATGAATTGCATTTTCAAAGGAGTTTTCAAAGTTTTGTTTATTCCAACTTTGAAAGCTTCATTTTTAATAGCTAGTGTAACTAAAATCACTGCTGACACTATTTGCAGTGTCTTCCACCTCACTGGCCCTTTTAGCTCAGTGTAATGTCACACATTTAGCAGCTTGTGTACTCTGGGCGTCTGGGCAGGAGGAGTTTGAGAGGATCAAATCTTGGCTCGAGATGTGAATACCGAACGCTTTGGCTGAACCTGGCTCCAATTATCTGTGCTCCAGCGGCCAAGGGGAACTTCTGACTATCCCTCAGCCTGAGCAGAGCACTCTACATACTGATGTGTCTTTGCTCTCACATCATCATCTAGTTTTAGTGAAATGTAGAACATACTGGTGACTAAAAATAGAAAACCGCCTTTTGTTTTATAAATGTCATTTCAAGCAGCCACTCACATTCTGTATTCACAAATACACACACAGACCCTGGGTGCATTGCCTGAGGACACAACAATATGTGAAATTATTATATAAATATTATGATATTTAATATATTATAATTTATTTTGGAAACTATGCAGGTGAAACTTGAAAAATTTGAATCCTGTTCAAAAGTTCAAACGTTGAAACCAATCTATGATATAGACTCATTACATATAGTGTGTTAAATGCTGGGCCGGTTTGTAATCATTTTGATGATTATGGCCTACAGTTAATTTTCAAAATACTACACTTTTTTGTGGGGTTTTCACAAGTTTTGAGACAAATATCAACATTATAACAAATAAATGTATCTCACTCGGCCTATAATGAATCTGTCAAATCTACCTTCGTATTCAACTAAAATAATATTCTAATTTGTATTTTTCAGAAATTTAAGGCTGAGGAAAGTGTTTTAAAACTACAATCTTAAAAATCCAAGTTTTTAACCATGTTATAAAGTAAAATCTGATTATTGTGATTTGTTTCTATGCGTCTGAAACCATTTGACACAGATGTAATATTTGACCTATTTTCTAGTTACAGTAGATGGTGCACGCACACATTTGTTGCGTTGTGTTGGTCTGTGGTGTTGTGTTGAGACCTGTACATACGGCATCCATATATCTATTGCTGCTCTATTTCTTTTTTACTTCATCACAAAAATACAACCCTCATATATTAGAACACCAGTTTTTAGCTCTAGCATACTAGAGTCTAGACTATAACATACATTTGTCTTTCCACTGCCATGAAACTCAAAATTTAAATGACAACAAATATTGGGGGGAAAAATGCTACTCCTTCATCCATCCTGGAGTGAAACTACTACAATCATGTCAAGACATGTCAAAGTTTAGATTACTTCTTTTTTGCCTTCCCTGTACATCTCAACTGGGAATGTATAAGAAAACAGAAAACACAACAATGTAAAATAATAAGTCACATTATTGTCTTTATTCTTTAGGTAAGTTAAGTTGTTGTGACGGGCTTTTTACGAGGCTCTTCAAAAACAAATGGACAAAACGGCGCTCTGTATATTCCTGATGTTTTGTGGATGTAATGGATGGACCCTGCTGTCATCCCTCTGTGGTCCGTCTTTGTGTGAAGGTCTAAGGTCGATGTCATTAGATCTGCTCTCTGCAGTTCGTGGTCCAAAGCCTGATCTCGTGAACCTTTATGTCTGCGTCACTGAAGGCGCACACTGCAGCCTCGGGGAACAACAACTTAAGTGGTTTTCTCTGTAAACAGCTGCATGTGTTTGTGTGTTTGTGTTCATTCATTGAAAGAATGGTTTGTAGCTAAGTTTCCTCATGGTTTTTCTGTTTCTCAATGGTGGAATCATAAGACATCATTCACCATTTGATTGTAGCCTCAATATGACTCATATGATCATTTTAGCTCTACATCTGTGTAGAAGATTGAATTATCACTTAAGCTTTACCTGTTCTTAACAACACCTTTGAAATTTGATGTAAACATCATGGGCCTCAGTGCTCGGATTAAGCATGATGTCAGATAGACAGGTCGATGAAGGCATTGAACAGAGCAAAAATAAATGTTTCAAAATCAATGACAAACTGAACAAATATTAGACAGAACAGGGATATTAATGCTTGTCCAAACTTTGCAGCGGTGCTTTGGATCAGTCTTTGTAGTGGTGTTTGATTAAGTCTTATATGAAACAATCCAAAAAAGAATAAATAAAACCGTGTCTAACTTTCTCATCATCAACATGAGTGGAAACATAATTGAGATTGATGTAAGTTGATAAAAGTGAAGAAGATGGCATATTCTGGGATCGTGTCTTTTATTCAGACAGAAGACATGTTTTATTGTCAATGGTAGAGACAGCACGAACAACACGAACAACAGAATGCAAGTGTATTATACAGAGCGGAGGCATGGAGACCTCCAATCAGCAGCTGCCACAGTGCCATGTAGCTTGGCCTTCAGATAGACAAAACATGAAGTGGAAAAGTACAGGCTTCTGCACATTGATAGAATGATGAGTTTAAGTTTAACAAAAGTTGCTTCAAAGTGTTATGAAATCTCACATTCCCCCCTCTGGTCACACATTCACGTGTGACCATCAGGATCGATAAACAGCAACATAACATCATAACTCAGTACTTCAAAAACTCATAAACTCGGTACTTCACTCGGTATTCGGAATACTTCAAAAACTCATAAAACATGTTCAGATCTTTCATAAAATTGTCAACAATCTTCAGTAAAATACCAAACTTCATCAGTCGATGGTTCTCAGATATTGCTTTGAAAGTCTCTCCCACTTCTTTGTTTTGATTCTTCAGGCTGCATTTGTGTCGAGCCATAGCAGTGAATTCTTCTGTGACGTGTCTTTCAATCACACGTTTCAGCTTCAGTGTCCAGATTCAGAAATCCAATTCAGTCCAAATTATGTCCAAATTCAGAAATCCAATTGTTCCAAATGATGTCCATGCAAAAGAGGACGATGGTGTTGTCCATGTCTCAGCAGCTCACAGCCTGAGTGGAATCAGGGGCCGTGCAGATTGTCCAAGTGTGCTGATCAAGATGCATTCTCTTGAGGTTTCTCAGTTTTGGCTTGAAAAAAAACACTTTTTGTGTAAAAAAAAAAGTAGTCTTCTGTTCTCTAGATGTTACAGACAAGGCCCGCATCCTTCCACCACCTGAAGAAGATGACATAGTCTGGGATCGCGTCTTTCATTCAGACAGAAGACATGTTTTATTGTCGATGGTAGAGACAGCACGAACAACACGAACAACAGAATGCAAGTGTATTATACAGAGCGGAGGCATGGAGTCCTCCAATCAGCAGCTGCCACGGTGCCATGTAGCTTGGCCTTCAGATAGACAAAACATGAAGTGGAAAAGTACAGGCTTCTGCACATTGATAGAATGATGAGTTTAACTTTAACAAAAGTTGCTTTAAAGTGTTATGAAATCTCACAAAAGCACTACTGGACCATTCACTTACAAGTGAAAGGAATAGTCTTTATACTCAAATTATTTAGTTATGTTTTGTATGTATTTAATACATACACAGTATAAGAGTATGTTTTTGAAAATGTATAAAACATATGATAACTACATTATATTTATACCTGTAAAACAGCTGCAGTACATTCCAAGGTCTGCGGCTTGAAGCCTGACTAGAACCAGGAAGTGTATCACAGTGTTGATGCCTCTGCACTGGCTCCTGTGGCTCAGAGAATGGAGCTTTCCATGGCCTCGCACCAAAGTACATCCCAGACATGATAGGGCAACATGAACCAACTGGGACTGAGGAGCACAGCGACTGGCCTCCTACTGGGACTCTGAGGAGCACAGGGACTGGCCTCCTGCTGGGACTCTGAGGAGCACAGGGACCTCGTGCTTGTGCCCAGAGTCCGAACTAAATATGGGGAGGGAGCATTTCAGGTGCAGCTAAAGATGGAACAATTAATCTTCTGTCCTCTCTGAGACGGACTCCTATTTTGATGATGTGCAATACCAGATTAAAACAATTCTGTTTGTTGTGCACACAACTGAAGGATTGTTCTTATTTTTGAATTAATATTGTGTGGTTATGTGTGATTTCCCCTTTATGAGTATGTTTTATTCCTTTTTTTGTTAAGCCCTTTAAAGTTGCACTGTAAGAATTGTTCCAAACAAATACACTTGTTGCTTTGCTGCTGTCTCCTGTGTAGCATAGAATCTTTGGAAATCTGTTTTACAATCGTAAAACTGGAACACTCTATTTGAATCACTCAAATCACAGTAATAGTTCTTATAGCTGAAATTAACGTTTATTTTTTGAATACATTTTATGAATTGTGGTTTTATTTCATTTGATGTTTTATTAAAGTATGATTCTAATGCATTTTGCTTCTTCCTTTTATCACCGTTTTCAAACATAAACCCCATGTCTTCATTTTTGCACCTCCCAGGCCTCACCATCTCGCCCACATCCGTCTCAGCGAGGCGTCCGTCAGCGATGTCAGAGTCTTGTCCATGTGTCCCGTGTTAAACTCTCCATGTGTTCCGCGTCTATCTGCAGGTCGCAGGAAAGCAGTTCACGCTGTGGGACAACTTCCTGGTTGAGGGCAGGCGCCGCGGTGGACAGGAAATGACCTTGGAACAACTCATCCAGTTCATCAAGGTATTTCTCTCCCTCAGGATGGAAACTTTAAGTGGAGTTAGTGTTGTCCACTGCAAGTTTTATGTGTTTTTATAAAATATGGCTCCCCTTCCAACAGTGCAACACAATGGCCATTGTTTTGAAATGGAGTCTTTACACCTTCTAGTGTTATATACAGTGGAGTGGCTTCAAATGCCATGAACAACAATTAAACTTATCTACGCTGTGTTAATAAGAGGCTCAATGCAAATGCAATTACAACTTTATAATTAAAGTGTAATTGTTCTGTGAATGGCATCATTCTTTCTAATTGTTCTTTACATAGGCCAACTGTTTTACTGATACAAGTTGGAAAACAATCCAATTAAATGTATTTTTATATTCATTGAGTTATCTCAGAGGACGCAGAGAATCAGACAGTAACAGGAAATGCTAACATAACAAACAGACAGGAGCAATTGGTCCAAAGATGACCATATATTTTAATAAATGCCCATAAATATCCCGGATTACCACTACTGTTCTTAGATCCTCCTGCTTCGGCAAGTAACAACCTGAAAACCCTTGATATTGTTCAAAAAATTATAATCTTACTGACATCAAGTGGTTAAGCAACTAGAAGCGCAGTCGTATAGCGCAAACCTCCATCAAGAGGAATTGCCATTCCAGAATCACCTTCAGAATATTTCAAGCTTTTTTGAATATTTTCTGAAAATCACCTTTTAGTAAAAGACACCCCCTGGTGATTACATAACCTCCCCCCTTGGTAGAGGTAATTATAGTAATACCAATTTGAATAGAAGTATTTTTGACAAAGTTTCAAAGTTGTAGACGCTTTGAGTTAAACTAAATACCACTAGCATCGGCATAGCCTTTCTAAACCCATTATAATTCAATAGGAAGTTTGGCGTGAAGACTTTAGCCTTTTGTGGATTAGCACCAACATGTTGAATTTCTGAGCTCTTTATGTGGTCTTAAAAGATCTATTAAGTGATTCAGATGGAACTTTGCATTTGAAAACATTTGATTTGCCTTTCTGTAGCAGGTTGTGGAGTCTGTCTTGTGGGAATACACACAGGGTGGCCATATTTGCTGCAGGTTTTGTTGCATAAAGCCATGTTCCCGTGTTTGTTTATGGTCACACTATGGCACTTCCTAAACTGTTGAGATCAAAGGTCATTCATCGTGCCGCTCGTCGTGTCAATACGGTGATTTCTTCCACCTGGATAAATATAAATATCTTTGATCGCTGTGTTTTCAGGAAAGGTTTGATCTGAAGGTCTGCTGTCTCTTCTATGGAAGATCTCTCCTTTACTATGGACAAGAGGACAGACTCAAGCAAAGGTAACTCCACCATTTTCACATGCTGTAAAAATGTATGTCTTGTAAAAGTAAAAAAAAAAGAAAAAACATGAAATTGAACACAAAAATTGCCATTCAAATGGTTTTTTGTCAAAAACGGTGGAAAAAAAAGTAGACGTTTACTTGTAATAATGACCTATTCTATCTCATTTTTCAACTAATATACATATACACACACATACACATATTTGTGTGTACATGTGTGTGTTTCAACTATTTTATGTTGTATGGTATCAAAGAAGCAGGTAACAAAACCGTTCATATTTAATTAATATACATTTTTCTTTTTTTTCTTTTTTTCTAACTCTATAAACCCACATTTGACTCTATCTGTTGTGCCGGGGTAAAGCGTATCGAGATTTCGTTACAAATGCATTAGAAACAGCTTCTAGAGTTAAACAATTTGGTCAATACTATTAGTTTTGTCACCCTTTATACTGTACATGTAGTTAATATAGCTGTACTGGAGTAATTGTTCCATGTTTCTTTACTCGAGTACTTGCCTGTACTTTTGCTGGCGTACTCCTCCCCTGTAGTGCAGTGCTGAGGGCAGATGCCACCTTCAGCTGCCCTCTCTCTGTGTTTGTAGTGCAGGTTAATGGCAGGATGAGGCGTTTCCTTTGTTGACACGCTCGCACTATGCATCACTACACACTGACGACGGAGACCCAGCGCTGCTCAGGTTTCTCTGTTTGTTGAGAAGCTGGAGACTTCAATTACTGCTAAACTTATTTTCCCTCCGAATCCGAGGCGGCGATGTTTGGACTTGCAGCACAGTGAAGACCTCATGCTAACGCCATGGGGGTAAATTAAATCAGTGCACTCGCTGAAGCAGTGAGTCAGATAGAGATATAAACCCTGCGGCGGCTTTTTTTCCCCAGTAATTATAGATGACGCCTATATATCTGACTTTTACAGCCAATCATTTAGAGATGATGTTTAAATATTCCTGAATTAGTCATTTGCATTTTTTTTGTGTTTGGCAAAGCCCTCTACCAAGCCATACTATTAGAAGTATTTAGACGTGGCCCTAATTGAGAGATCTAGGGAGATGGAAAGTCCTCTTGGCACCAACAGCAAACATAATAATGAGTAGTAATGAGCAAATTAAGTGTGTGCAAATGTATTTTGATACAGATTAGGATTGCATTGTGGAAATGGGCATTTTAGTGCATCCACTGTTGAAACACAAAGTGAATTTGATTTAAACTCCTTTGAAAAACTCAGAGAAGAATGCATAAATGATAAACTTCCTTAAAGTTGCACCTTGTAGCTTTTCTGGAGCTACAAGGTGATAGCTCCTTTACGTCTTCCTGCTGCGTCCGTTGTGACGTGCATTTGGACACACGTCTCTCCCTGCAGACTCATACTTTCGTATTCTTCTTGCTTGTGTTAAACCTTTCATGTGAGCCCCCGGATTGTGCTCGAGGGGCGCAGGGGAGATTTGTCGCTCCAGAGCCAAAGGGAAGCCTTTCCTTCAGTTCTGACCCTCGCTCACAGTGTGGTGCTGTTGCAATAACACTTTAGACTTTCAAAAATAAAACGTTAAATAATCAACAGAACACACCAACATTCACTGTATCCTGCCTGGCTGCAGTCACTCTGATCATACACCACACTTTTCATTCTCATTCATTCATTTCTCAGAAAAAAAAAAAGAAAAAACCCAGGCCATTTTCACGTCCCTGTGGCAAAGATTCGGGCTTAGTTCATTCGTAAACCTCAGTGGAGTCCTTTCATTTCCTGGGCACCACCATCATCCAGGACCTCAAGAGAGAGCCGACCATCAGAAGGCCCAGATGAGGATGTACTTCCTGCGGCAGCTCAGGAAAGCCAAGCATAGATGTTGGTGCAGTTCTATACAGCCATCATCAGGTCCTTCCTTACCTCCTCCATCACCGTCTGGTTCACTGGAGCCACAGTCAGGGATAAGCAGAGACGGGGATCGGCCGCAGCCTCCCATCGCTACAGGACCTCTACTTCGCCCGAGCTCCAGGGTCGTATCACAGCCGACCCCTCTCACCCGAACATGGGCTGGTCCATAACCTCCCATTAGGCAGGAGGCTACGGTCCATTTGGACACCAAGTGCACTTGTAGTAATAATTATGTACATTAGAACTTAGGTCAAATGTTTCCAAAGATCAAATACATTTTACAATAAATTTGTATATGAAAATGAAAATTTTACAATAAAGAAAAAAAGAACTAAAATGTGTAAAATAAGAATGTTAGTGCTAGACTCACTGCCTAACCCCTATCACAACTACAATTATACAGGTTCTCATATCCCAACGATGGTAACATGTTGCTCAAAACTTCAACTTCAACAGTCAACATTATGTTATGCATCATGAACTCATGACGGCAATGTCCCTGTTTTTAATATGTGTGTTATGTTTGATGAGATACCACTCGTTCTTGTCCCTGCCCGCTGCCCTCTTCAGCCCTGGTCATTTAGGACCCTCCTGCCCCCCCCCCCCCCCCCCCCCCCCCCTCCCCCCTGAGCCTTCATCTGCCGCGGCCCCCAGAGAGAGGAGCTGTTGCTGATATCTCAGTAAAAACAAAGAGCCCACATCTGCAGCTGGACACTGGGGACGGTCCGACCTGCACAGGATGTCACTGTCACAACCAGGGAGACGAAAACTAACAATAGTAACATCTCCCCCTGTACCACTGTGAAACCAGAGCAGGCAGAGTGTGGAGCTGTGGGCAAACAAGATTACAAGCTATATATATGTCTTTGTTTTAAAAAAATATTTTCTCATATTTTGGGGTTTCTAAATGGGCACAAACTTCCTTTTTAAAATCCCTATTCTCGCTTCCGTCATCACTGTGTTTGGAGAGGATGGAAAAATGTCTGAACTCTGAACATTGTAAAGCACTTTGGGTGACCTTGGTCTGTAAAATGCGCTATATAAATAAACATTACTTTTCATTAATTTCATGGCCGTAGTCGGCCATTTTGTGGGTGGAGCCACTAGATTTACAAAGCTTCAAGGGGAACCTTATCGAGGAAGAGACACACTCAAGAGACAGGATTGTTTGTAAGGTTTTTGTCTAAATTAATTCTGGTTCAGAGCTTTTTATTATTTTGAGTCTGCCTTTCATTTTGACACTCGGGCATCTTCTCCACAGCACAATATTCATCTTTCTCAGTCAATGTTTTTTTTTGCAATTTGGGAAGAGACTGATGTAGAAGGTTCAAGGTTCAACTTTTCTCAAGCTCAGGCTGTTGGACACAAACATACAAGACGCTCAAGAATATGCCATAATATTGCGCAGTCCCATCAGAGCAGAGATAAAAATCATCATTCAAGTAAAAGGCCACAGTTAAAAAACAGTATTTACACCATAAACAACAAGTACACACACAATCTAAAGTACTAGTGTCCTGCAGATTAACACAATACATGCCCATGCCTATAGAAAAAGTGCTTGTGCAGTTATATTGCAGTTTAGCGAATATCCCAAAGACTCAGTTATTGCTACAACCCTCTTATCTTAATTAACCTAGCATTAGATGTAACCGATTAAAGAACAAAACAAAACGGATAATCATTTGAAATATACATTCAGGGAGACCAAATGTTTAAATCTTAAACGCAATAAATTGTGAATTATTGAGATGTTTTCTCTTATGGCCTGTTGGCAGGGTGTCTGAGCTGATCGAGAAAGTGACCCAAGAAGAGATTCCTCCTCATAAGAACATGATGGAGCTGGTCCCGTCCTTCGATGAGGATGTGGACTGCGAGCTGGTTCCTAACATCCACTACCTGCTGCTGTGATCCACGCCTCCCAGAACACAGGGCAAACTACAGAGATATACACTGCAATTATGTACTCTGATTATGACCATTATTTAGTCTGGTTTTGTCTTATTGTGTGTCATTGTCTTAAAGTAATGTGCATTTATTTGTAACTTTAACAGGCTGTGCTTTAATATTTGCTCAAGTGTAAAAGGCAAAGATTTCTCGGTTCAGATGTATATACGTTTTTTAGTAGTTTTAAAACAAAAAGTCTTAGTAAGAATAAAATGAACAAATAAGACCACACATACTATCTTCATCTTAATAGTGAGGACCATCTTGAATGAGTGAGGGCGGTCCTCAATTTCCTGCCTGAAAAAGCTGATCTGAAGCTGGATCAGAAGTGAAAAAAGCATCTGAAAGTGAGTGAACTTGTTAAACTGTTGCGGTGTGAAAGTTAGGCACCTTAGCTTTAACAGATAGATTTTACTATTCACAATGATTATTTGTTTTAGATTTTGACCCCTAAAGTTCTTGAATCCAAACTAAGATCTTCACGGTCAGACAGCAGCACAAATGTTGTTCTTTTGCCTCTTGCAGCAGCCTTCCTGGACCAAAGAATATCAGGACACAGCTGTTTTAATATGATCCTCGTTCACAAATGCTGCCGCTCCCTTCATATAAATAGAGATAGAGATATGTGCAGCACTTTCACCTGTCTGCAGCCTCTGAGCTCCTGCCTGGAACCACAGCTGTCCTACACTTGCACTGATACAGCTGTGTGCACCATTTGTTATTGTTGTGTGTGTGTTATGTGTATGAATGTGGGATGTGGTTGTATCATAAAGTCTCATTGTCATGCTAGGCTGTATTTCATATTGTTTGAGGTTTAATTTTGCACGAATGTAGCGCTCTGATGACCACTACAATCATTCTGTTGGATTTAGCTCATGATGTGTTTTCTCCGACTGTGGAGTGTGTAGTGTGAGCAGGGGCAACATGAATCTGGAGGGGTCATGCGCCTTGTTAGCCACTTTCTCAAAATGCTCTCTTCATAAGCAGATAAAATAATTACCAAAAATAAGATTTTATTTTGACAACTATAATAAATGCACTCTTCTTGTTCAGTACGTTTAGATTTTAATGATAAATCTACACATTTAAGATAAGATGTTAAAGCGCACATACAGGAGAGAAGTAAGAGCACACCAATTACAAATATCTAAGTACTTGCTATTTTTTAAATTGTTCTAACATTCAGTGGTCATTAATCAGGAGAGCTCGGTGTTCATTCAATCTATCCATCCATCCTTTTTTTGCCCCTTAATCCATTTCTGAGTCAGGGGGGTGGCAGTCCGAGCTGCGCCCATTACACAGAGCACCAAGCAGTGTTATTTTGTTGTTTTGGCCTTTTCTCTGTTTCAGCCATAGATCATATACTTTAGGACACTTTAACATTCTTCAACATGTTTGATGTTTAACTGTTGATTCTGTGATCTGTGTTGGTGATTTCCATGGTTTTGTTAAGTCCTCTGAGATGACTTCTGTTGTGATTTAGGGCTGTACAAGAAGAATGATAAAGGACCCCCTTGAAAAATAGATAGTTTATCTCAATGGGGCTATCCTTAAATAAATAAATAAATAAATAAAATATATTGTATTGTATACTGAGCAAGCGTGTGACATCACCACAGTGTTAGCCTTGATGCATTAGAGGCCGATTTGATCAGCCTCTTATTCAATCTAGTCCCAATGAAAAGTCACCTAAAAGTGGGGAGGACCCAATTATTGTTTCATAAGTTTCATTGAGTTTGAGTAACATTTTGGAAACTTGTTTTATAAAATACATCCATCTTATTGAATTTTTTAAAATATGCCGTAAATAAAGTGGACTGGATTGAGTGAGGACTGGCACTTAGCACCAAAGAGTTTTGAGAAAAAGAATGTAGTTACATGAATATTATTACCTTGGTATTTATGTGTGATTTCAAAGATAATCACCAGGTTTAATATTGCTCAACCTCTGTCAAAGTTTGTGAATAATAGTATAATTGTTCAAATATATTAAAGCATCAATACAAATAGAAAGAGAACACTTTTACATAAATAAAGCTTTATTAAAACAGTAATAAAACATAATTTCCTTCATGTCAGATGTAACCAATAAAATCATTACATATGATTGGTTGGCGGCTGCCCGTTTTCATGAGTGCAGTAAACTTGTAGAAGTCCGAGTCTGTCTCGTGGAGGCCTGTGTGCGACTGGTGGAAGAACGGTTTAAGTCCCTGCAGACCCACTGGACAGGACAGTCTTTTGGATGAGTCCGCTGGCTTGGACTTGGCACAGTCTGCTGGTCTGCTCCTCATTTCAACACCTTTGGAAATCACATTAAGCCTCTTGCGCATGTTTACCAGTATGTCCTTAGCCAATCGCCTTCCTGGATTTGGCTTTAGTGCGGCCGGTTCAGGACTCTCCGGGAGATCCAACCAGTTTTTAACCAAATCTGCAAAACTATTGTCCCCTAAAACTAAAGGCTGTCTATTTCGGCTCCGGCTCAGCAGAGACGTGGTCCAGTCCTCGGGGTTACCAGCGCCAAAAGACGTCCACTTTTCTAAACAAGCATCTGATGTGGATTTCGGGCGGATTCTACCATTTGTCGATACTCTGTTTGTTCTGAGACAAGCTGAATTTGAAACTCTGACATTCCTGGTCCTTCTCAGCACTACACCTTCATCGTGCCAAGAATCCTCCGAAAATCCAGAATCAAAATCCACACTTTTCTCACTGCTGGGAGACTCTTGCTTTAACCTTTCATCCTCTTGTTCGTAATCTTCGAGTGGACTGGCCAGGCAGCAGGCCGAGTCATAGGTGCTGGATTCACTGGTCTCTGAAACTCGCAGTCGTGTGGATTGTTTGCAAAATCGTGTCACAGCAAAGGTTCGGCCACACGGTTCGCTCAGGGGCCTGGGGCGATTCAGCGGTTTGCTTTGAAGGGACTTCTTCATGTACTGAACCTGGTCACGCAGACAGTCTGGGGATTCACCTAGACACAGCTGAAGACAAAAAGATACATGTTAGTCAATGATCAATGTTGGAATTGCTGAACTCTATTAACATTGGATGATAAATGGATAGCAAAGTAGTAGTAGTATTAAAAGCTGGGGTACCTAATGTATCAGGCCACCATTGTCACTATCCAATGATTTGTTGTTGCTGTTCTAAACCTTTAACATAAGGCCAACAAGCACATGTGTATGAAAACGACAGAACTGTTTTGAGAAGAACTAGTCAGATGTATTCTATTACATTGTTAAATTTGTTGTGGTTTGAAAGTTAGGTACCTCAGCTTTACAGAACATGGAGGGCAAGCTAGTATTATCTATGGTTGTGAAGTGGAAGTAGCAGTAGTAATTGTATTACAGAAAGTCTTTGCGCAAACAAGCTGTGGTTAACTCCTTAACACTCCTCATGCCTCGGCCTGTCTGACAGTGGCTGGAATCAGAACGAGGCCAAAAGATTTTTACAAGATTAGATCATCACCTCCACTGAATTTTACAAATGCTCCTTAAAGTCCATACAGTGTGGACTGCTGGACTTTAACAATGACACCATATTGGCTACCACTACAGCAACTACTACAACTACTGCTGCTGCTGATACTACTACTATTATTACTACTCAAACAAACCTACTACAAAAGGTGACTGAAAAATGTATTCCTATTTGCGAAATTTAAATAAGAAACAGAAAATGTAGTAATCTTGTCCTCTCCCATATGACTACATTACAACAACCCACCAAAAGTAGCTCAGATATTTCAATATATTATATGCGAACTTAAAATGTTAACATCTTTGTGCAAGACATTATGCATACGTTTATTATATGAGTAGTCTTTGGTCTTGGGAATACAAATGGGGGAAAGTCAATGTATGGTAGAGGTCAGAGACAACTTCAAAGGGCACTAGGATAACAAAAGTTTGACATTCTTATGATTTACAGTATGACCAGAGTAAATGGGGGAACTCCAGTTTAGACAAAGCAGCAGTGATCGTGGTGCGTATTGAGGAGTGCATATCCTCTCTCTGGACCCCTATGACCCACAGGATGTTGCTGCTCTGAATTATAAAAACGGAAATGACTACAGAGTGTTGGAATTGCAAAATGAACTTCCAAAAGCACTGCTCTAAAGTTTTACTAATATTCCTAACTGCAAGTCCAGGGAGTCTCCGCGTCGCTGCTGCTGATGTTATCTCAGCTGCAGGCGCTGAACCGTTTGGGGCTTGAAAAGGTCTTATCTCCCTAAAAAGACGCGTCCACAGCGGGGTACTGTGGTCCTTCTGTTTACCATTTGAAATAACATGTTTCTACTTGACTGCCTCAACACAACACGGGAGCTCAAACCAAACTGCAGGCATGGGCAAAGCAGAGCAAGTGGTCAAGAGAATCTATTGTAAATCCAACATTACTAAAGGTCAAGCCGATACACAAGGAGAACAGCTTACCATTGTGTCCTATGTACTGTATGATGTGGCCCAGTTGTCCAGTAGTCTTGAAGGCGATGAGGTTATGGTTCTGCAAAATAGAAAATATGATAAACGTCGCCAACAAAACTCACCAAAAAGAACAGCACGAGTAAAGCAAAACCTACCACTATATCTGTAGAAAATGGGGCATGATTGACAGAACACACTAGAATCCAAAGTCGTGTGGCGTTCGCTCTCCCGTGTTCAGAGTTCTGTTCTGACTCCCTTGGCTCCTGTCACTGGAGTTTAATGATGCTGAGCGCAGGGCCTCAGCCAATCAGCGAAGTGCGCAAAATCCTCCAGCCAATCAGAGCGCGCGTGAAACGAGAGCCGTCATCCTGCGCGTCCAGCGGTTCCTCCAGGAGCCAAACATCTGCCTCCAAAACCAAAAGGCAATTCCATGTGCGTGTTTCATTAGTGCAACTGTGCCACAACTTGGAAAAAGAATGTAAAAAAGTAAAATTAAGATAAAATGGGGAATTTTATGGATGACTTTTCTCTGCCAAATGTGAC